GAACTCTAGGACCGGGTGACAGCTGTTGCAGTAGCAGCAGCAGCAGCAGGACGTTGCTGCAGCAAGTAGCTGCTGCGGCTGCAGCACGATCTCATAAGCGATGGGATCGGGACTCGCGAATCGCACCACGCAGGCAGTCTCCACGTGGCGAGGAGATGTTGACTCCCTCGCCTGGAATACAGGAGGTCGTGGGTTCGATCTCTGACCCTGACGCCTGCTGCTGTATATTTGAAGTTGGCATGCTCTCTCTCTCTCTCTCGCCCCGTGGTCGCGTGAAGTTTTCTCCGGATCCTCTGAGTGTTCCCTCCACATTTAGAATCAACGAGCATTTAGAGTACTTGGTCGCTATAAATATTGGTCGCTATAAATATCCACATGATGGTAAAATAGAGCCACTTGATGGTGAAATAAAAAAAGTTTATAGTTTACGTGGAATACAGATCGGATGTTTTGGAGAGGTCACCAGTGCCTACATTTGAGTCGGAAACCTACCGAACGATGATCTTGGCAACCAGCCACATCCATGCCGCTACGCCTTGTGTTGTCCTCATTTTACCAAGCGGGGGCGATGTCCCCTCCCCCCACAAGTCCAACCCCACCCCCATCCCATTGAGACCCCGGAAATTGGTATTTTATTCATATTTACCAGAATAAAATCGTTCAATGTAGGGCCCTATTTACAAGGAGCTTGACATTTCACTGATTGTACCCTATATCAATCTGTTGATGGGATTATATTAATGCATGGCACAATGATATAGGATTGTCATGGAATGAAGTGCATGCTTTGTACTCTAGTGGTAGTACCTTACGCCGAGAATCCGTACTCAATTCTAGCGTAGCAGCAGCGTGCCGGTAAAATGTCGAGTGCGGGATGAAGCCCTGGGGATCACCTGCGTTCATTCTTCCACGTCTCGCTCTTATAATTCCCGGTCAGTTTCAAAAGCCCGACCAAGAAGTGCGTCTATTTTACACGGCTCTGTAGACGGAGTCGCAACGTTTGACAGCGCACCTCAAAATAACGAGCGGCCAGTGGTGTGTTGTGCATCGTGTGGGTCGGGTAGCGGTTAGCGCTACGCTGCGCTTTGAAACCGGCGACCCGAGTTCGATTCCCACTCACGCCCTACACCGGTGACGATTATCTGAACCGGTCCTGGGCCTTCCTAGGTCGACCCAGCCTCAAATGAGTACCTGGTGAAGTGTGTACAATCATCGCCGCTGGGGAGACAAAGGCGGCCGGGCGTGGTGCTGGCCACCCACCCACGCACCCACCCACCCACTCGTGTGCCGTGCCGGCCTTCTTGATAATTGCTCGCTAACAGCACTTGCCCCAACAGCATGTCAAAGCTATACGGGGGACATTTGCCTTTGGTGTGTGTGGGTCAACATTGGGGGGTATCGGCAAAGGTCAGGAAAGGTGCCGGTGATGTGACGGCCGAAAAAAAGGGGGCTTTGTCCTCGATGGCTGTCTTCACGTGAAAATGGAGAGGGAAAACGTTAACGTTTCGCTGTAACAGCGGCCAATCATTCGGTGCAAAGGTCCCTTTGGCAGATGGTTTCAGAGGAATGCCACGAAATTAGTTGCATGGGGGGGGGGGGGGGGTCACAGCGGGGCATGAGCGAGTGTTTTTTTTTTCTACAGATAAGCCGAGATTAACACCGTAATTATCTGACAAAGTTGACTGTTGTCATTGTTTGAGAGTCTTCCTGTGGAGCGTGCTGGGAGCTCTCACTGATGCGGTAGTGACTTGTTTCGCACACACTAAATATTTCCAATTTAACGAGAATAAAGAAAATCATCATTGACCAAACTCGTGTTCTGGGCAATTGTCAGTAATATTTTCTGCAACGAATGTTACACGAGATCTTCGCCAAAGTTACATGCGAATGAGATTGTGTTTTATCGAACGTATATCCCTCCGAGCTAGCGAAGTCATCGTTTCCTGGACTTCTGTGTTAAAGAGCTTCATAGCTCATCGGATTCCAAAATTGTCAAAGCAATGGCCATTGATAAGCAGTGGACATAACTTTCGATTTAAAGCTTTCGTGACTGCAGGGATTCATCTTCTTGGTTCTTTCGGTAAAGTCACGTAGAAGGGAAATAATAAAATAATAAAAATAAAACATAATAAAATAATTCTCACGACGTTTCGGCCACAACGCGTGACTTTACCGAAAGAACCAAGAAGAGTGGACATAACTGTTATAAAAATAACAAAAACATATGGGAGAAGCGATGGCGTGGTGATTCGCAAACCCTGCGGCCTGAGTTCGATTCCCGCTCACAGCCAACATCAATCGGCAAATATCTGCACTGGCGAACTGGCCCTGGGCCTCACCAAGGTCAACTCAGCCTTAACTGAGTGCCCTGGTGGTCAGTGCCGGATTATCCTAATAGCAAAAGTAGCCACATATGCTACGGGCCCCGCACTTGCAAGGGCCCCGCGCCAAATGCTTTCAAGCTATCAATCCCGGTTCATTGATTCTGCACTTGCTCTATTACTGTAGTACTATACTGCCTTCAACTTTTATGAACGACTGGGTGTTTAAGTTTAGCGATTTGTCGTATTATCTGGCTGTATAGCAAATGAAAAAAAATACAATTACTTTACTATGCAAGTAAAAAAATGCGTGTGTTTTTTTAAAATTTAGGGCCCCTTTATAACATATGCTACAGGCCCCACACTTCGCTTAATCCGGCACTGCCGGTGCTGTGTGTAAAACATGAGCACTGGGGGAGGTGGGGGTGACGACGCCATCCGGGCGTGGATCTGGCCGTTGTTTTTGCGGCCTTCGTTCTTAGCAATTGCTCGCTGACGAGGACTTTCCTCAACTCTCTGTGTGGCTACCCCGGGGGTGGGGGGAGTGTTTGTTTGTCTTTGAAAGCAGCAGCAACAACAACAAAAAACAAAGTCATGGGACCTCCTTTGCCAGTACCAAAATATACTAATAGGGGTTTACCCCTTTTTTCTGGCAACAAAACTGACACCTTTTGCAAGGAATCATGCTTACATTAACCACAATACTTGCAGTCAAATGCAAACAAAAAACTATACTCTGATAATTTATGCATTGTCTTTGAAACTGATTGGTCCACACCAGAGACAGCTTTCTTTAGAGCCTAGTCTCATATGGTGTTCGCCTTTTGGCGTCATCTGGTCGAACACCATATGAGACTAGGCTCTAAAGAAAGCTGTCTCTGGTGTGGACCAATCAGTTTCAAAGCCAATGCATAAATTATCAGAGTATTGTGTTTTGTTTGCATTTGACTGCAAGTATTGTGGTTAATGTAAGCATGATTCCTTGCAAAAGGTGTCAGTTTTGTTTCCAGAAAAATGGGGAAAAACCCTATTAGTAAATCCCAAAAGTGGTGTTGGCTGCGTGCGTGACACAAGCTCCAGCAGAACTTGCGCGCGCAAGCCGCCTCTCAATCACGATGCCAGGACACGTGTGTGGCACGAGAGGGCTTTGCTGTGCTGCTGCTGCTGCACTGGCACACAAGAGCCACGTTTGTGAGAAGGAGGCACGCAGGGTGGGGTAGGGGGCACCGTTGCACAACCATTCACTCGCGATGGCGACGTCAATGGAAGCCCCGTCTCCAATTCGACCGTGCCGATTACGCAAATCACTCCTATTGATTTCTTAGGCGAGTTGTTGTTGTTGAGACCGTGGCACGGATATGGCGTCGGTGGTGGTGGTGGTGGTCGGGTGAATTAAATTAAAAGCGTAAGCCACAAGCAGCCTGTAAATAACCTGTTTTGAAGTATGCTTGGCAACGGTGTCAGATTCTGCAAGCGCCCCTAAATTTAACGTTTGGCCAAAGTCACTCAAGTTGGTGGGCAAGGGGCCCTTGCGTCGTCGTCGCCACCGTTGTTGTTGTTGTGGTGGTGGTGGTGTTGACGTGGGGGAAAGATAGATGGCAGAATGTGGTCAATCTCGCGTCGTGTATTTGTCTTGTTTTGGTTATCCCAGTTTCCCGGGACCAGGCGTTGCAGTCATTGGGGGTGGCACCAGAGGTCGCAATCGGGTACCCGATACCCGGCTACCCGTACCCGGCTACCCGTACCCGGCCGGGTACGGGTACCCGTTTGCGACCCTGGTGCGGCCGGGTACGGTTACGGGTAGACCGTGAGTCACTGGTGAGTAACTGTTTGTCACTCATTTCCCAACGTCTTGTCTCTTCTCACAATTCAAGTTCCTAGAATTAACCCACCCGCGCCTGCAACATGGCTTCATTCCAGAGGTCGCAATCGGGTACCTAATACCCGTACCCTACCCAACACCCGGCCGGGTACGGGTAGCCGGGTATCGGGTAGGGTACGGGTACCCATTTGCGATCCTGGTGCGGCCGGGTATGGGTACGGGTAAGGAATCAAAACCCGTTTGCGACCTCTGCCGGGAGCTCGCGATAATTTTAGACGCGCCATGGCTTAAGAGGCACCCACAGCATATTGGAAAAGTAAATCTTGGTATTTTTCTGACACCTTTAGCAAGGTTACAAATGCTGATTCATGCTGATGGCGGAACCTTTAAAATGTAAAGACACAGTCGCACGTGAACACTATGCTGAGTATGCAGTCAGCAGCTAGGCGCATAGATTTAATCTCATTGTAGAACGGCAATCCGGTTCAGTTTCACATGGTTTGACGGCACTTACTACTACACAGCGTGGCGACGGTAATTGATCCGTTGCATTGACCTTATTATGGGCTAATTATATCCTTATTACATTCTTCAAATTATAAGATGCTGTCCGACCCGTCCCCCCCCCCTATATTTGAAAGCAACATTTGCGTCGCATCTTAACAACCGGTATGTGAGCAGATTCTGGAAATATATTTTTCTTTGTTTTATTGACACATGACATAGGTTTGGGGCCACGTCTTACTTCCCGGTGCGTCTTATAATCCGGAGGATACGGTAATGACAGTTACGTAGTTAATCCTCTTAATCTCCGATGAGACACGAGGCCACAATGAGTTCCCCCCTCCCCCACTCACTTCTTCCTGTCCTCGGCAAGGTGTTGAGACTCGCCCCAAAAAAGGTCGATCGCTGCTGCCAGCTCCTACTTCCACGGTCTTGCGTCACGTGGGTCTTGGGTCGCCCAGCTGTCCTTTAATCCGGTCCTAGAATGATAGCAGTCGAAAATTGTGGGCCACTGCATCATCTGTAACCTGACCCAATGAGCATCGTCAAGCATTCGCTTGGAGGACAACCGCCAACAGCTTCCGAGGAAGTGGCTGAGCTCGTGCTCTGAGCTCGTTGTAAAAAAAAAATGCTTTACGGATTGCTAGTTGTAATTGCTGTCCGCCTGATGGTGCTGGTTGTAATTACTCTCGGCCTGATGATGGTGGTTGTAATTACTCTCGGCTTGATGATGGTGGTTGTAATTGCTGTCCGCCTGATGGTGGTGGTTGTAATTACTCTCGGCCTGATGATGGTGGTTGTAATTACTCTCGGCCTGATGATGATGGTTGTAATTTCTCTCCGCCTGATGATGATGGTTGTAATTTCTCGCCGCCTGATCAGCTGGTTGTAATTACTGTCCGCCTGATGGTGCTGCTTGTAATTGCTGTCCGCCTGATGATGCTGGTTGTAATTACTGTCTGCCTGATGATGGTGGTTGTAATTACTCTTTGCCTGATGATGCTAGTTGTAATTACTGTCCGCCTGATGATGCTGATTGTAATTGCTGTCCGCTTGATGGTGCCAGTGGTGTTTATTTGCGAAACGTCGTACTCGATTTTTATATGTAGTGGCGTTTATTCTCCAACACACCGGTTTGCTGTACCAGTAACGGATTGGCACGTTACGGGCCAACCCTTACTAATTGGCTATGTCGGTTGGTGGCGGGTTTAACGACACATTTATATATTAACGCGATCTAACCCAAAAAAAAACCTCTATCGTGGCGCGAAAGCCTACCTACGCGTGAAGTCGTTGGTTGGTTGTTGTCGTTGGTTGGTTGTTGTCGGCATGCGGTCTGCACGAGGGGTGATATCGTGACGAGTGTGGGGCAAGCAGGGGGTGCCTCGCCCTCCCCCTCGTGGCGAAATTTGTTTTCAACAGCAGTGTAACAGAACAGAACTTTTTAAAAACGCGGTTTAAATATATATTTTTTCATGAAATTCTTTCATTTACGTTCCGCGTTTTTATTTTAATTCAATTAGAGCGGTAACGCAACATTGCAAATATGTTCTAACGCAGCTGCAGGGGCTGCATTTCACGTAGACGTAGCGTCCGGACAGCGTTAGATGCTCGAGACCGTGAGCGTCACGACGACGTCGATTCGGGCCAGAGGAGTCCGCGAAATAGAATCGCCTCGAGCTGCGACGGTGCGAGACAAATCAAATATCGGGGGGCTCCGCCTGACCGATGGTCGGACCCCCCCCTGAGCTAATAACAATGGAGGCACGACGGCGCTGTCTGCACGGGAGACTTCAAAACAAACCCGGAGATTCCTCTTCATTTTTCGATTTAAAGCTTTCGTGACTGCAGGGATTCATCTTCTTGGTTATTTCGGTAAAGTCACGTAGAAGGGAAGTAATAAAATAATAAAAATAAACATAATAAAATAATTCTCACGACGTCTGTCTTCTCGACAGACCTGTTCTTCTCCTGAGGACGGCTGCTTGCGTTGTGGCCGAAACGTCGTGAGAATTATTTAATTATGTTTTATTTTTATTATTTTATTATTTCCATTCTACGTGACTTTACCGAAAGAACCAAGAAGATTCCTCTTCATGTTAAAGTGTCAGTCGCCCACGACGATTGTCGTCATCCTTTTGGGCAGAAGGGGGGCAGAGGGGTGGCGACCGGGACCACTGCTCCCGTCCCTGGCTTTTTGACCCCCGTGTGGCATAAAGGATCAGAGCTAACAATGCGACAACAATGCACGTGGGAACACTGCAGAGCTCAGCACTGGGATGGCGGTTTGGGGGTGGTCTGCGCGTCATGCTTAAAATATGAAGGCATTTGTGTGGAAACATTGATCTGACATGTCACCACCAGGCACGCGATGGCGAAGGGTATGTACGGTAGAGGAATGCAGCAGTACTACGCCACATATCAAACCACCACATGTCCGCTCCTGATCAATTAACAATGTCAGGGTGATTTAAAACTTTCGTGACTGCAGGGATTCATCTTCTTGGTTCTTTCGGCAAAGTCACGTAGAAGGGAAATAATAAAATAATAAAAATAAAACATAATAAAATATAATTCTCACGACGTTTCGGCCACAACGCAAGCAGCCGTCCTCGGGTGAAGAACAGGTCTTTCGGAAAGACAGCGTCTTTCCGACAGACCTGTCTACGTGACTTTACCGAAAGAACCAAGAAGAAGTGTCAGGGTGGTGTAAGTGTCACTTTTTTGACGTACATATGTTTCTATTTTATTGACCCCAGAGGGATGATGGGCTGAGTCAACACCACCCCCCCCTATCCAGGAATTGAACTCCTAACTTTCACGATCGCGAGCCGCTCGCTCTCTCGTCAGTTGGTCGACCTTTAGCCGTACCCACAGCTGTCGTGCCAGATTGGCAAGTGTGTTATGTAACGTTAGTGAAGGATTACATTTTTATGTTTTACTCTTTCTCCAATGTATTTTTTTAAACAGACCCGTGTCAATCCACTGCTGGATGAAGGCTTCCCCGTGCCGTGGTGGTCGCGGGAGTTGTTTGACCGTAGTTCGCCATGCTGGTCAGTGCGGGTTGGAGGATGGATGGGGGGAGGGGGGGGGCAGGAATGGCTCAGATGTCACTTTCCACTGATGTGAGCTGTGGCCGGAATAAAATCTCACACAGCTTACCAGGCGAGAGAGGCAGGACACACTGAGCTACTCCAGAGCTCTTTTTCAGGAGCGACCTCGCTGTCACAAATGATAGCTCAACGAAGTTGGCATTCATCTTCTTGGTTCGGTAAAGTCACGTAGAATGGAAATAATAAAATAATAAAAAGAAAGCGTAATAAAATAATTTATTCTATTATTTTATTCTATTACATTATTATATTATTTTATAACGTTTATATATTTGTATTTATTATTTTTATTATTTTATTATTTCCATTCTACGTGACTTTACCGAAAGAACCAAGAAGATGAATCCCTGCAGTCACGAAAGCTTTAAATCGAAAATGAAGTTGGCATTGTCATCGCGTGGGCATTTATATCAGACAAAAACTCCGAGCGCGTAGAGACGTTGTTTCTAAATGTGGAGGGAAAACCCGAAGGACCCGGAGAAAAATCCACGCTACCACAAGGAGAGAGAGAGAGAGACACGCAAACTCCAAATATACAGCAGCAGGCGTCAGGGTGGAAATCGAACCCACAACCTCCTGCGTACCAGGCGAGGTAGTTAACATCTCCTAGACACCGTGTTGTCCAATGACCTTCGTGTGTTCAAACAATGAACACACGGAGTTTAACACGTAGGCTTTCGCGACCACTATCATCCATAATACAGGATTGTAAATGTTGTGGCTTGGCTCTCCAACACACCAGTGTTGCTGTACTAGTAATGAATTGGCCACGTTCTGTTTACGTGACAACCCTTACTAGTTGGCTGTGTCGGGTGGTGGCGGGTTTAACGACACATTTATACATTTACGCGATCTAACACACGGAGATCCGTTTCTTTGTTTACCATGCAGGTATAAATCCCCCCCACCTCCCTCCGCCAAAGATGACGTTTCAATGCCGAGTCGAGTGTACACACCCTGATACCGCGGCTACAATCGGAGGGCACAGTGTGTGTGTGGTTCAGACTCTGCTCACGTGTCTCTCTTTCGCTTGTGACAAGACACGAGGCTGATTCCAGGTGGTGGTGGAGGGGGTGGAGAGGGAGTTCGCCTGGCTTTCGTCCCGAAAGAGGGCGAGCGAAGCGGCACAAAGATTTGGATGGGGCGCCGCGCCAAAATCCGTGCGTTCTGCGGTCCCAGAAGACACGTTGCCCCCCCCCCCCACGCACCTAAACCGGCACGACACGCGAATGAGATTGGGGGGGGGGGTAGTTTCTTCCCAAACAAAAACCCCAACAACAATAACGAAACGTCCGAAGTGAAAAATGTCCTCCTGTAGGTCAAGACGTCCTGGAGTGAAGACATGACGCCCACCTTCCCGCCGAGTGGACTAATCTGCGCCCGATGTCGGCATCTGGTGGTGCCGCCTCTGAGCTGATGATGATGATGATGCAGTCTTGGAACGAGTCAAAGGTCGGAGCTCTGCGCGATGGAGGTTTTAAAAAAAAAATGCGAGGTCGCACGGTGGCGTCGATCTGCGTCATGTCTCCCCCGGCGTTTGCTTTTTTCTCAATTTGTTCGGTGTTTGAACATAAGTTAATTTGGAGCTTTCGTGACTGCAGGAATTACTCTTTGGTTATTTCGGTAAAGTCACGTATAAAGATAAAATAATAGATTAAATACTATCATACGACGTTTCGATTGCAACACAAGCAATCATCATCAGGTATAAATGAAATTTGTGTTTCTATTTCATTTATATCTGATGATGATTGCTTGTGCTGCAATCGAAACGTCGTATGCTAGTATTTAATTTATTATTTTATTTTATACGTGACTTTACCGAAAGAACCAAAGAGTGTTTGAACATCTTAGCGCCTCCTGTTTTATGGCCAAAGAAGGGTTAAAAACGAACTATTATAAGTTTTCGCTCTCTCGTCATTTTGATACTGGCAATCAAAAAAATGTCCCATCGATCTAACTGCGCAACCCGAGCTATGTACATGCTCTGATTCTTGCATTATCTTTGTGCTGTTCGCCTTCAGGCGATGTTCTCTGCTCTGACACTGGTGAGGCTAGGCCCTAGAGAAGGCTGTCTCTGGTGTGGGCCAATCAGTTCCAAAGACAACTTTTACATTATTATCAGAGCATGTTTGTTGCCATGTTTTTTTGCTCCACGTGCGTGTGGCTGATGCAGTACTTGATTCCTTGCGAAAGGTTTCTATTCGGCGTTTGAACAATCGTAACAAAGTCTGTTTTATTGCTATGAAGGGTAAAACCCAATTTGTTTTCCTCTCCACGTCCTTTACCCGACCGCTGGTGCCGGTAACGCCGCCCCACGTGGGCTGCCTGCCCGCAGTCCTCCAGCACTGTGGAGGTAGCAGCGATGCTTGGTGGCTCACGGCGCACAAGCTGCCCTTCCCGTGGGTAGGCGTCGAGGAGGAGCCGTACCCTGACTCACCGAATGAGCAAAGTGTGGACGAATCGCCATCGGGGTTCCATCTGTACGGGGATGGAGTGGTAAGCCCCTCCCCCCTCAGCTCCTTCCCCTTGCGCGTGGCGTCCGGTTTTCTCCTCCCCCACGTGGATAACACCACTGATAATAATAACAAGCACCACTCGTCATGATTTGTCTGACAACATCGGACAAACAAAAAAAAATCAATGTTGCCGCAGCTTCTGAAGAAGCGAATAGCTCAGTGGGTTTTTGTTGGTAAAATAAAAAGGTGTTTTAGTGTGATTTGCTTAACTTTCCTA